AGTGAGAGGCCCGCGTAAAAAAAAAAAAAAAAAAAAAAAAAAAAGAAGCTGAAGGGAGCAGAAGAAAGGAAGACAAAAGTGGAAAAAAACCATGAAGCATGATAATAGATTATGGTAGGTCTCAGTTTCCCGTTCAGGAGTATGTGCTATAGGAGTCTCTTATTTTTTCCACACAAAAGAATTTTTAATGAGACCTCCCTTGACAAACAAAATCAGAGATATCTTTATAAACCAGCAAGGAGGAGGGGTTTAATAACCCACTGGCTCCATGATCTTTTCTCTCCAATCACTCAGCTACTCCCAGCTTTATCCTGACAGGAAACACTCCTTTGAACGTAGTAATAGAAGAAAGATGAATTTCTACCCTTAGTAACCCAAGGAGAATTTATTCTACCTTATTTCGTATTTCAGCTGCCTCTTATCTTCTGTGCCCCAGCAGGACTGGAAAACTGGCTCTCTACTTATTACTCATTTCTTATTAAACTAATGAGTCAGTTACAGTATTTTGTACCTGAGCTTTCTGGTCTCTGTGAAGAAGGAAGGGGTGGAAGGGGGAGGGGAAGGGATGGCGTGTTTTGCTGGGAGATGGTGCACTTTAGGAGAGAGGCTAGGGAAGAAAAGGTCATTGTGCCTTACTGGTTTTTTTCCAAGCAAAATATATTTTAATAATATAGAAAATATAAAAGTCCTTAACTTGATCACAGACATCATTTGAAAGTCAGTAGCACCCATCTTATAATTTGCAATTTGTCAACCATTGCTATTAAAGTAAATAAATTCTTATACAGTCGTTATTTTGAGATCCCGAACAATGCAATGAAATACGAAAAACAATTAAAAATATAAATATTTGTAGTAAAGGCATGACTGTAATTCTTTGGGTAGATAACTAAATTTTCTTAGACAAATCCAAGGAAGTCAACCTCAGCATTCTGGGCCTTGCTGTCTTAATTTTTTTTAATCCCTATTTAACGACACAGGGTCCCTTACAAAGCGGAAGCCAGTTCTCTCCAAGAGTGAGTGGCAGAAGAAGCTGACTCCAGAGCAGTTCCATGTCACGAGAGAAAAAGGGACGGAACCGGTAAGCTACACCGACTGACAGTTTCTGAGTAGGTGTGTTGGGAGCAGGGCAGGACGGGTTGGAATCGATCTCGCTACGAAACCTGACTCATCACCTGCTCTGCGAATCTGGTGCCTTTCATTGCTCTGCTTCTTCGGCCATGAATATCTACCCAGTTGTGCAAACCAGAATCCTTCCTCTGGACACACTGCCCTCCGTCGCCTCGCCCACCCATTCTGCCTCCTAAAGAACCTTCCCATACTTGGCTTCCCTCCGCTGCTCTCACCTGCAGGCTGGTCCAGGCTCCCCCCAGCCCTGGCTTGCGTGCATTTGCCTCCAGCTGCTCTCCTCACAGCTGCCCTCCTCACAGCTGCCATTCTCTTTTGGAAACAGATCTGACCACATCACCCCCTGCTTGAAATTCTTCAGCGGCTTCCCACTGCTTTCAAAGTAAAAGAAAAGTTGAAAAGTGGCTAATGAGGCCGTAAAGGCTCTAGCCCCTACCTCCACCCCCTGTCCTCAGATCTGGCCACATTTCCCCCTGGTCGCTGCACTCCGGCCACACTATCCTCTTTCAGCTCTCAGACCCTGGGCTTCCCCTCCATTCGGGCCTTTACACCCTGTGTCCTCCCCCACCACCAACAACCCGACCCATTCAAACCTACCTTCCAGCTCTCAGCCGCACTCTCACTCCCACAGGGAAGCCTTTCCTCAGCCCCGATGGGTTTGCTTTTACCAGTACTTTCTCTTCTTAGCACTTGCCATCCTTGGTATATACCCCAGCACATAGCATGGTGCCTGCAGATAACAGGCGCTCAAAAACTAAACCGTGGTGACTGTCACATGACTGCAGGCCATGAGAAGGACACATTATTGAAGCTGCCTTCAGTAATCTCAGCTTTCTTTCATTTCCTGAGAGAACAGCCCTCAGTGGCTCCTCATTATAGTATGCACCCTGTTTGCTGTGCTGCATAGTCCCAAATATGACCACTGGAGTATAGTTACTGAACCAGGTTATTAGATATTTTCATTGGTGAAGCAGACCCCACGGAGGGGACCACAGTGCAGCGGTTTCAAAAGCTGTATAATATTTATATCTTTGAATTTAGCAGTCCCTGCAAAATTCAGGTAAGCTGTCCATGTGCTATGACCGTGTAACCGTGGTCTCACCCTCAACTTCGCCACCGATGCTAAAGCCGTTAGACAGGCCAGCAGATCCCAATAGATTCTGGTGAAATACTGGTATTTTTGAAAACTTCCTGTGGGTGGGATTTTAATAAAGGCTTCACTGGGAAAGAGACTACATTAGCCATAGTGCAGATAGCACAGGGGAGCCACACGTGATTCCCTGTGCAGTTGTGTGCATTCCCATAGCATTGTAAGCCGGCCCTATTCTGAGGGACAGAGCCACGCAGGGTGTGGAGCTGGAGACGGCAGCCTGGAGATGAGCTGCCAGATGTTTAGGAGAATAAATATGTGGGATTTTCAAACAAATGGTATAATATACTCTGTGCATTTGGCCGTTTGACAAAATGAGCATCATCTATTATTTTAAGTAATGCTATAAATCCCTTTCAGTTGATCCATTTCCACAGTTAACTTTTTAGAACGTTGCAGAACTATAAGCCTTAGTTAGCTCCATGAGGGTCAGGAAAGAGAAGTAAAACACCTCAGCTTTCTATTTGGTGACTCAAAATTAAAATTCAGTTGCGCATGCTTTTTATTGGACAGCAGTAATTTGCTAGCACTCTGCTAGGTACGACGAAGGGGTTTACAGCCTGGTCAAGCAATAACTAAAAGTCAAATATCAATAGAAGGTAGGTTTTATGCAGGTCATTCTTTGCCTTCCAGATCCGCTATCCACATGCCTCACTCTGCTCTGAGTTCTGGGAAGACTAACCAGCTCCCTTGCCCTCTGACTCCTGATTGGGTTGGCCCCTGGGAGATGCCAGCAAGATCAGAGGGCACAGTGGAGAAACAGGCATCCAGGGTCCCCCTAGGACTGTGTTCCTCCCACGCAGGTTGCAGCTTCTGCAGGCAGCCCTCCCCTCCAGCTGCAGCCTCACGGGTCCTGCCCGCTCTGTGTCCCACAGGCCAGTAGCGTGTTCTCAGTCACTGGCCCGGGGGTGCTTCACCTTCCCTGTTGGTCTCCATCGGCCCTGTCCCCACCTTTGTAAATAGTGCTGTGTGAAATTATCTGCAAATCATTCCTTTTGAGTGCGTCATCTGTTTCCAACAGGTATGTATTCATAGTATGGAAAAGATAAAAGAAGAGAGAACTCGCATTGGTGCAGACAGACTGTGTTAGCACGGGCTGCTGTAGCAGGATGCCACAGACTGGGCTGCTTAAACAACAAACATTCATTTCTCAGGGTTCTGGAGGCTGAGAAATCCCAGATCAAGGTGCCAGCCAATTCAGTTCCTGATAAGGACTTTCGTCCTGGTTTGCAGATGGCCACCTTCTTGCCATGTCCTCACGTGGTGGAGAAAGAGGTCAGCTCTCTCGTGTCTCTTCTTATAAGGGCACTAATCCCATTCTTGAGGGCTCCACCCTCATGTCCTCATCACCTCCCAAAGGCCCCAACCCCTAACACCATCACATTGCGGGTCAGGGCTTAAACTTGAATTTGGTGGGGGCAGTACACAAATACTCAGTCCTTAGGACAGACTTTGAAAACCCAGGGGAAGGCATATCTTGAAAGTCATTATGTCTCTGACTCTGATAGTCACACATTTCAGTTCTCTCTTCTAAATAATTCTTGAATCTATTCTAGTCTTTTTATTTCCACTGCTCCTGCCAGTTAAATCTAGGCTTGAACTGGTGGCCGTTTGACTGTCCTTTGCCTCCAGTGTCTTCCTGCCCCGACTCCAATCCATTCTTCATGTGCATGTCAAGTACTCCTTCTGTTGATAAAAACCAGTTCTGATCGTGTGCACACCCACTTTAAAAGTTTCCAACGGCTTTCCATTTTCAGTGGGATGGCACAAAAACTCTTTAGCGTGGTCTGACAAAGCCACTATGATCTGGCCCTCCCCACCTTTGCAGCAACCTCTTCTCCCTTCTCCACCTTGCCCTGTTCTGTCACGTGGGCCCAGCCCAGGCTGCTTGTCTGTCTGAAATACTCTTCCATTTCTTCATCTGATTAACTTTTACTCATCCTTCAGAACTCAGTTTAGTGTCTTGGCATTTCCTGTAGTAAACACCGATCAGCCATGCAATGAAAAATAATGATGATAGAAGATTAAAGAAAAAGAAAACCCTGATCTCAGACATCTCAGACGTTACCTGGTCCAGAAAGCCTTGGTGAAAACTCCCCTAGTAGTAAAGGGCCTAGTGCTATCCTCACTCCCTACTAACCTCTCCATCAGAGCTCCTGTCATGTGGTGTGACAGCTGCCAGCTCACGTGTCTCTTCCCAACTTGGTAGCAGATTCCAAGTGCAGGAACTGTGGGTTGGTTTGGTTTCATTTTGTTTTTCCATCTCTGCAGCCTTAGTACCCAGTCCAGCATTGGATACACACTAGGTTTTCAAGTAAATACTGGAATGAACAAGCGAGAAGCCCTAAATAAGTGATAGGACTTGTATAAAACTGGGGAGGAAGGGTGAGAGGGCAGACAGAGGAAATCAGGTGAGGAGGCGGAGGAGAGATGTCATTTCATAAAATACGTCGGCTAAAGATTCTTTTATGTTTGATTTTTTTTTTTTAACTTACTGTGCTACCAGTTCCCTGTCACTTCCTCTGCCCAGCTGTCCCTGCAATGACAGAATTTAATTTTGAATATTATCAGGCTGTCCAGATCGCATGAGTAGGCTTCTCTAGATCACCTTCAGGTCTGGGTAGCCCTATGGCATGTGTGTCTCATCAGCCCAGGTGGGCGGGATGCGAAACTTCCTTTTCATTCCAGATGCCCATTCGTGCCAGCGTTGGGTACAGGCCTTCGAGGGGACGGGCCAGAAAAAGACCAGCTCACCACTGTTCGGATGTCTGCAGCCAAGTTCAGGGTTTTTAAAGAGGGAAAACATCCAAGTGTGCTGAGATGGTGGGCTCAGTAGGTTAATTTGAAATTGTCCATTATGCAGCTCCCTGAAAATGTGCTGTTAATCCTACCACGAGGAATGTGAATGTTTGACCTGTGGACTTGTCGAGGTGGGACGTCTCGAGAGGACCAAGGGGGCTGCTTGTTTCCTGAGTCAGCTCTGGGACTCAGTGACCCACCCTGTGCCTCAGCTTCTCTCCATAAAATGGGACGGCGTCTGCCACTAGCCACTGCTTGTAGATTTTCACACTAGGCTCATTCAAGAGTTTCTTTTTTTTTTTTTTTTTGCAGTACGCGGGCCTCTCACTGTTGTGGCCTCTCCCGTTGTGGAGCACAGGCTCCGGATGCGCGGGCTCAGCGGCCATGGCTCACGGGCCCGGCCACTCCGCGGCATGTGGGATCCTCCTGGACCGGGGCACGAACCTGTGTCCCCTGCATCGGCAGGCGAACTCTCAACCACTGCACCACCAGGGAAGCCCAAGAGTTTCTTTTTTTTAACATTCCTTTGACAGGAGATGACGAAAGGAACTGGGCAAAAATAGTCTTTTTTTTTTTTTTCAAACAATGAGATCAGTTTACAAAATAACATTAAAAAAAATTAGTCTTGGCTCATTCATTGCCTCAAGTCTCCTTGTGTTCCTCTCGGAACCTGCAAACTCCTTAAGCCACAATTAACATGGTAATTTCATCTAAGTAGTAACTTAGGCCCTGCGAGTATCTAGCTCATTATTTAGCATTTATTAAGTATGCAGTGTCCTAAACACCACGTGAAGCATATTAAAGGCACAAGCTAATCTCACTGAGCTTTGCTTTTTATGATCTATATCCTGTCTTTAATTGGAGATTTCAAAGTGTTTTAGACAGTGGACTAGATTCTTGTTGTATTAACTCTTTTGAAATGGTGACTGAGATCTTACACAATCCAGAGGTGCGGTTCTCTTGCTTTTTCACAGGCTTTGATGTTCTTGGGTGAAACGTGCTATATAAATACAAAGCATTATTAATGTCATAATTTGAATATTTGGCACAATAAAGGCCGGTCGTAAACAAGCCTGTAGGCTTCTTCACTGGGCGCACTGTAATTTTCTCTCCAGTGATATTTGCACTTTGTCAAATTAGTACAAAAATTCCTTTATTGGGAGACTTAATCTTGGATCTGGATCTGCTGTATTGTGTCCTGCTGGCTGAGAAACCTGAAGGTGATGTAACTCATTTACTTTCAGCCTTTCAGTGGGATCTACCTGAATAACAAGGAATCAGGAATGTATCACTGTGTGTGCTGTGACAGCCCGCTTTTCAGGTGAGATAAAGATCAAAAGGTACCGAAGGAGAGTAAGCCTCTAAATTCATACAGCTCTGTCTTCTGGGGCCCTGGATAAATACCCATGATGTTTTTAATTGCCCTTCTCATTTGGCCTGGTTGCTATAAGGAGGGCTGTTCATTTAAGATTCTTGCTTATCTTGATTATTTCTAGTGTTTAGAGCATTAACTTCTTAGCCTATATTCTTTCTTTCTGTATCCCCAAGAAACAGCTAAAAACAAAACAAACTTGGTGGGCACCTTAAGATAAAGCTATTAGAGTTTTTTTCCTGGGAAAGTATTTAAATAAATCTAAACCATAATGGTATTTGCTTGGCCATGTGATTAAAACTGTATCTCTCCCAGGGAGAAATGGGTTTATAATTTAATTTAGGAAATGTAGAACTTTATGAGGATAGATTCCCCACAGTGCTTGATGGTAGTGAATACCATGCTCTCTTCTATGTAGCTAAAAGTAAATTTAATTGTCCCTTGATTTCAAAGCCTCTTTTAAGTCAATCAGGATCTGAAATCTCTCAACAAAGCCTTTTTTGTTTAGACATGCAGGAAACAGTCTAAAAAAAGTAGATTCGATGAAGAAGAAAGGAAAACATCTTTGAAGTCCTGTTTTTCAGAACTTCAAAGATGTTTTCCTTTCTTTTGCATCAACCCTAAATTGGTTTAGAATAAAATATAAATCAAGCCAGGTCTGTGAATCTTCCATTAGGCAGTGCTTCATTATGTGCTTTGGGCTTTGAGCAGACCTGGGCTTTCCTAGGCTGCTAATGTGGGCTGAATTTGGAAAGCCAGACCCCGCCTGCAAGGATGAGGAACAATTAGGATTGATTTTCCTTCACGCTCACGGAAGGGCAGACCTTTGTCCGGATTCATTCACTCTGTCGGTGGCTGGTGAGGAGATAGCAGAGATGGCAGTCAGGGGAATTCCCTGGCAGTCCAGTGGTTAGGACTCCTTGCTCTCACTGCCAAGGGCCCGGGTTCAATCCCTGGTCGGGGAGCTAAGATCCCACAAGCCTTGTGGCACGGCAAAAAAAATAATAATAATAAATAATAAAATAAATCTTTAGAAAAAAAGAAAGGTGGCAGTCAGGCTGAGATGGCCTGGGGGAAGCTAGGAACAGTAAAATGGATGCATATTTCTGAACCATTAGTTATTCTTTGACCTTTGGTTCTATTAAAAGGGAGAAGTGGGACCTTGAGATGGCCACTCTGCTTTTAGCCAAAGAACCGTGTTGTAAAAGTATAAAGAACGGCCTTGTGACTATGTCGTAAACAGCCAGATGTTCTGTTTCCATCTTTTGACTGTGAAGGCAAAAGATGTGAGGTCATCTTTCAAGAGCATGTTCCTTCCTACATCTGAGTCTTTGTTTTTAACTTCATTGGCGTTCCAGTTTCTGTACCTGTAAAGATGACACTCTCTTCCTACCCAATGCCCAGCCAGGTTCTGTCAGTAAATCACAGAATGTTGGGGGCAGGTAGGGACCGGAGAGACCAGAGCAAAAAACTCTGTCTAGTAGAACTTTCTGTGATGATGGAAATGTTCTGTACCTGTTCCATCCACTTCAGTGGCCACCACCATTCACACATGGCTGTTGAGCACTTGAAATGTGGCTGATGCGGCTGAAAAACTGAATTTTTAATTTTATTTCATTTTAAATAATTTTAAATAATTTAAACTTGAAAGGCCACATGTGACCAGTAGCCACTGTATTAGCACAGTGCTCGTCCAAATTAAGGAAGCTGAGGACCATCCCCAAAGCAGCCAAGACTAATGAGAATACCAGCCAGTTCCCCAAAAGCCCTTTCATCAAGTGGCCAGTTTAAGGACCTACCAACCTGTTTGTTTCTTTTCAATCATTTAGTTTTAGTTGCAGTTTCCATTTTCATTTCTTAAGGACTTTTGAGTTTGTTCCATTTTTTTTCCTCCCACTGCTGCTGCTGCTGCAGCTGAGACTGAGAAAAATAAGAATATATTCATAAGAATCTTTTATGTTCTAGAACGTACTCTTCTTTTTTTTTTTTTTTTCCTCTGGTACGCGGGCCTCTCACTGTAGTGGCCTCTCCCGTTGCGGAGCACAGGCTCCGGACGCACAGGCTCAGCGGCCATGGCTCACGGGCCCAGCCGCTCCGCGGCATGTGGGATCTTCCCGGACCGGGGCACGAACCCGCGTCCCCTGCATCGGCAGGCAGACTCTCAACCACTGCGCCACCAGGGAAGCCCCAGAACATACTCTTCTTAAAGATGATGCATTTATTTATAGGAGAGACAGTGTAGTACAGTGGTTAAGTCTGTAGATGTACATCCTGGCTTCACTGCTGTGTGACCTCAGGCAAGTTTCTTAACCTCTCTGTGCCTCGGTTTCCCCACCTGTAACATGAGCATGCTAGTAGTACTGAATTCATAAAGTTGTTGGGAGGATTAACTGAGTTATGAGTTAATACATATGAAAGCACTAGAGCAATGCCTCACACATGCCAAGCACTGGATACATGTTAGCAATGAGACATTCTTAGAGACAGATCCTTCTTAGGGCCATATACATGAATGTGTCTTTGATAATGAGGAACTCTTGAGAATTTTTTCTAATTAATGAGAATCTATAAATGAAGACTATATTCCTGACAGTGCTTCCCATTCAGGAGGGTGGATAGCTGTAGAGATTCTTGTTTGACCTCTCATTTTCCCTCTCTCTCTGTCCCCAGTCTCCAGCCTCAGTAATAGACAGCAGGAGTAGAAAAGAAATAAACATTCCTTCAAATGCTTGTACAGAGTGAAAACCAGGTGAAAAGTCAACCAAAACTAAACAGTTAAGGAATCAAGTGGATGAGGGATCACTGTCTCTTGGCTGCTGGGCCCCTTGCTGCCTGCACACTTCCCTTCAGGCCAAACCAGTATGGTGCACATTCTGGGGGAGACAACTCAGAGACATTTAGTCCAGGGTTTCCAAGTCAAGAGCGCTCTAGGGATTTTATCACTCCCCCGGGGACTCCAGGCTGTTGCTTCCTTAACCTTGGAATTTTGTGACTTTGCCCCTCCCCTGCTTCCTCTATTCCCCTCCCTTCTCCTCCCCCTGCCCCCCAACACTGATTCTGAAAGTGTTTATTAAAATCTACTGTGAGATCACATGTTTCATGGTCATAAATCTTAGAATAGAAGGAAACTGAGAGCCTGATGTTAGTTCCCTTTTTACAGAATATCCTGACATTCTAGGTGTTAATAGGAGCTTAGTAACCTTGTTAACCTTTTGTGAGCTCCCATTCCTTCAAAGGAATGGAAATTCTCCTACCATGAGGGTTGTCAGTTATCACCAAGTGCCTCTGCTGCTGTTTGGGGGGCTGTGGAATTTCCAGAAACTAAGATAAAAACAAAGCAAATAAACATATAACAAAACTAAACAAAAGAAGCACCTCTAAGAGTACATGACTAAAGATGGTCCAGAATGGTTTTAGCTTCTCAAGGGAGGGCCTTACAATCTGCTAATCATTTAAATATGTATGTTGGAATTTCTAATTCACCTTAATATTTAAGTTTTCACTCTTAAATGATACATGATGGGCCTCTCATATTACCTGGTAAAATCTCCCGATTCTGTTAATTGCATCAATAAAACTTTTATTGTTTCCCATCAAATGTTTTAAATGACTTTTTATTAGTCTTAGATTCATTCATTTAAAAAATTATTATATTCATAATTCTCTATCAAAATTCCTTTAATGATCACTAGTTTATATATAATGTTCAGTGTGGAAAAGCTATGATTAAAAGATATTTAAAGTGTTTTTCCCTGGACCAAAGTAGCTCGGATGAATATTTTTGAACCCTTGGAAAACAAAAAGGGTTGCAGAGAACCCAATCTGAATGTGCAGACACTTCTGATTGGACCCACAGCTGCTCAAATTTCATGGATACCTGTTACTACTAATAATAATGATATTTAAAAAATAATAGCTACTGGCTTAAGTACCACGTGTCTGACACTATGCTAAAAACAGTAAAGTAGAAAGCATCTCAGTTAATCCTCTCAGTAACCCCATGAAATAACAATGCCACTACAATTCCGAAGATCAGGACACAGAGGCTTTACAAGATTAAATAACTTGCCAAGGTTGCATAGACATAACAGACAGAGCATGGCTTCACACCCGAGTCTCTCGGAAGTCAACCTCAGAGCTATACCTGAGTTCCTGGGATCTTTTCAGGGCTCTTCGAGGTGCTCCCTTTTGCAACTGCGTATCCACGAGACCACATCCTCTTCCTACACTTCAGTCGAAACAGCACTGCAGCAGACTGAATGCACGAGCACATATAGTCAATTGTCATTTTTTTTAAGCTACACATTAAAGAGATTTACAAAGTTATAAAACAGTGCAACTCTTCCCACTAAATGTTTGTTTCAGTTTCGAAAATAGAATTATTGTTGTAAAAATAGGTTACGTTAGCATGTAATGAATTTATTATTTTTAAAAATAATTTAATGCATATATTTTTAAATTCTCACTTATAATTTCCAATTTGTTAAGTATCGATAGACAAAACTCATGTAAACAAAAGTTCTCAGAGATCCTCAGTAATTTTGTAGTACAGAGGGGTCCCAAGACCAGAACATTTGAGTCTCTGTCTTGCACTAGACTCTTTCTGCTGGGGTTCGTGCTCTAAACTGAGCTTCCTTCTGTGCTCCTAGTCTAGGGATTTGATTATTTGCCACTTTTCCCCCCTCTTTACTCAGTTTTTGGTGTTTGGGGGGTTTTTTTTGAAGAATTTACAATTCATTTCTTGTCTCTCCTCCTCAGATAGAGAGAGCCATTTCCCTGCCATTTAAAATGTTTTCCTAGTGTGATTTAAGGGAGTCGTCTTTCAAAGCACTTAGAGCGAGTCTCTGATGAGTAGATTTGCCTGTTGCCCTCCTCCTCTTGCCGGCTCCTCTGCCACCACCATCACCCGCCCCCAGCATCATTCGTCCCTGTGGCGCTTTGCCGGGAAGGTCACTGCACTGCGGTGATGACTCTGGGTGCCCAGGCTTATCTATCACCGCTTGCCCCACAGCACAGCTCCTTAAACCCTCAGAGCATCTCTATAACGTAGATATGATTATCCACATGTTACAGATGAGAAAACTGAGGCTTGGAGAGAATAAGCAGCCTGTCCAATTTCACACAGCTAAGAAGTGACAGAGGCAGCTCTTGAACCCCTGAAGGCAGTCAGGCTTTGAATTTCGATAACCCGAAGTTCCGGTGGCTGAAGACGGCTGTTTCATCAGTTCTCACGCTTCTCTGATACGCTAAACTCACAATGCCCTCCTTCGACCACTATTATTTCATTTCGATTTCCCCCTTTCCTACGTTTAGAACACAGGGATTTGATCTGTTTCCTAACGTGCAGCAGTTCACAAAGCTCCTCATGTTTTTAGTCCTTGAGAGGGATGCCTTCGACATTAAAGGAACAAGAAATCTTTGACCTGATGAGACGGCGTCTTTAATAGTGGAGATGCAGTGGGCAGATTCCTGTGGAACCAGTGGTTCACGGCACTGGCCTTGGGATCTGGCAGAGGAGAAGGGAATCGAATCGTGCTTGGTAGAAAAATGATTCGGGGCATAAAATGCTCTTTGTATGGTAATAGCAGCCTTCACAGCTGTAGTGTCATGATGTCTAACACAGCTCTGAGAAAAAGTACTGCTCGGGCACTGGATGGCCTTCGTTTTCTGAGGCTCACAGGACGTCTGGCTCTGATGAGAGTAACACAGGGATCCTGCGACGTGTGGACACCTCGTTGGGACCAGCTCGCACAGAGGTCATCTGCAAGCAGGTGGGTGTCTTTGTTTTCTCTGATTTGCTTTCCCCAATGCCGCCCCAAATGCCACAGAGAGCTCTCTTGTCCTTGCATATCTAGTGTCATGGCCGGGAGCACTTTTGTCACGGAAGCACCCTGGGTTTCTCCCGTGCTGCTGGTCCCTATCTCCCATCACTCTGGGCACTGCAGACCCGAGAAGGAGCCTCTCCTGGTTCAAGCCTTGCAGAGATGGGAGCAGAGCAAGGATCTGAAAGAGAGAGCTGGCCCTTTACATTCTGTTGCACAGAGACAATCAGCAGGAAGGCCAAGCATAGCTGGCGTCCCTATGCCCCCTTCTCACTCTGCAGCGTGTCAGCAACCGGCGGAGCAGCGCTGCAGGTGCGTTATTCCTCCTGTGAGCTTGGTAGAAGACAGTGGCTTAAATCCAGACAGCATATTCACTTTGATATCCTTGGGTGCTCAAATGTTCTGGTTTTGTAAGCAGATAAATGTAGCTTAGTCTTGTCTTCAATAAAGAACAATAATAATACACTGGCTACAAGATTACCGAGTACTCACCCAGGAACTGTTAGTGCTTTAAATGTTTCGTATCAATGAATCATCACAACATCTCTATTACGTAGGTATAATTATCATCCCCATTTTATAGATGAGTAAATCAAGGCCGAAGTTAAATCACTTGCTCACATTCTCACTGATAAAGGAGAGAGATATTCACCACTACTGTGCTCTGCATCCTTTCATTTCTTAATCAAGCTCTGGTATAATAGACTTTTTCCCCACACCAGTGTCAAAAACTCGAGTGGGGCGGCCATGTGGGATTCATGTGTCTGGTTTTACATAAAGAGCCTTGTCCCAGTTGAGGAATGACAGAGGCTTCTCTCCTTGCAGTGCGAAGCTCACCTTGGCCATGTGTTTCCTGATGGACCTGGGCCTACTGGTCAGAGGTTTTGCATCAACAGTGTGGCACTCAAGTTCAAACCAAGCAAACACTGACTACCTCCAAGAGTCCCCTTCCCTCGCCACTCCCTCATTTCCAAACTCAATTTTCATAATTTATGTGAATAGCTAGTTTTATTACCTACTAAACCAGGCTAAGTTTGCTGCTATCACCAAGCAAGTCACACCTTCTCTAACTTACTACCTGGAGTCAGCCAACCCTGGCTCTGGCTTTGACTGGAATTTCACAAAATGACAGAGGGGCAACCATTTCCATTAAATCGACTTCGGTGGGCTTTGCTTGGACCAGAGGGCATGACTCTTTGGGGACATTTGGAGGCTGATGGACAAACCAAAGAATTTACAAAACCACCCTGAACGTTCCATTGCAGTTAAGTTCTTCATGGACATATATAGGTGAGAGATCAAGTGAAAAGAGGAAAGAAAATATGGGGTTAGACTAATTCACAGTCCCAGCATGGAAAGAAGCAACGAGGAGGAGGGTTGTGGATGAGCTGTGCTTTGGGGGATCCACGGGATGCATGATATTTTTTTCAAAACTTTAGACTCTCTTGAACTTTCCAGTTCCAGCTTCTCTACGTGCAACTTAAGTTTCGATGGGAGTTTGCTAGATTTCAGTGATGATGAATACAAGTGGCTACAAAGTTAAACTTTAATTTAGTTCAAATAAAATATTTACTAAAATCTGTTTGCTTTTTGTCTAAGTCTGTGAATTTGCTCTTTTATAAAAATGACTAAATCAAATGCCAAAAAATAATTAGGTCATGTGGTAGTAGGTGTTTGGTTACACCAATGCTGATAGCAACTCAAGTGTTTTTTTTACACATTGAGAGTCTTGAATAATTTGTTACTGAAAGTGTTTAAATCATTTTCTTTGAGACTTTATGGACAGAAAGGAGACTTAAATATTCTATTTTTATTACTGAGTTATGCATTATGAACTCTTCTTCTAGTGCTTACCCTGGAAATCACAACATCCATCCTTATTACAGTCATACTAAAATTATTAATTTTTTCTACTTTTCCAAGAACGTTAACCTTAGAACACTTTAACTTCATTAACATTCTCCCATATTTTGTGTTACTATTGTCATGTATTTAATTTAATTTTATACACATATAAACCCCACAAATCATTGTTAGTGTATATGTTGATATTCATTTATCTTTACCTACATATTTGCTGTTTCTTTTGCTCTTTATTTCTTCCTGAAATCCCATGTTTCCTTGTGGGATTTTTTTTTCTTCTGCTTGAAGAACTCTTTTGCTTTTAGTGCATGATTTCTCATGGTGAATCTTCCCAGTTTCTATTGGTAAGAAAATGTATTTATTTGCCTTTCATTTTTTTTAAGCTTTATTGAGGTACAATTGATATATTTAAAAATTGCACACATTTAATGTATACCTTTGGGTCTCCTTTTATTTTTGAAGAATCCTTTTCCCTGGACGTAGAATTCTAATTTGGAGAAATTTTATTTGGACATTTTACAGTTTCATTCAATTGTCTTATGGCTTCTATAGTTTCTCCTGAGAAATCAGCTGTCAGTGCAATTGTTGCTCCTCTGAAGGTAATGTGTTCCCCTCCCCCACAACTGTTTTTATGATTTTCTCTTTTTATTTGAGTTTCAGCAGTTTGTAATGTGCCCTGGTGTGGTTGTCTTTGTATTTATTGTGCTTGGGGTTCACAGAGCTCTTTGAATCTTAGGTTGATACTTTCATCAGTTTTGTTATTATCTCTTTCTTTTTCTCCCTAGACTCTCTCCTTTTGAATTACACAAATTTTAGACCATTAATTGCATCCCACATATCTCTAAGGCTCTTTTCTGTATCTTCCCGTTCTTTTAAATATCTGTATTTCTGCGTGGATATTTTCTGTCAACCTCTTCTCTAATTTACTAGCCTTATCCTTTTGCTTGTCTAGTCTGCTGTTAAGCACATCTTATGCATTCTTAATTTTAAGTGTTGTACTTTTGTAGTCCTAAAATAACCATTTGATTCTTTTTTATGGATTCCAGTTCTCTGTTAAAGTTCTCCGTCTTCAACAGGCAAAAAGAAAATTCTATGAGGCCTTTCCTCCTGAAACAGTTTGAACTTTTAATCTCTGCTCACAAAACTGATGAAAAACAGTGCTCTGCATTTCAGAGGCTTTCCACTTAGGGTTTTCGCACCCTGACCTACACAGATCCCATATTCATCTAATGTGCTAAGATGAAAACTAGCCATTTACTTAGGGTCCCCAAGTCTCTGTTATAAATGCTCTGCTCATTTCTGTGTCCCCTAGTAGATGCCCTTTGTGGGTACAAAGCCTAAATTCTCAGGCTCTTGGCAGAGTTTAGAATTGGCAAATGATCCCAGGATAAAAGGAGCTCTGTGGGGTTCTTCCCTCTCTGGAGTTGTGGCAGACAGAATAATGGCTCCCCAGAGATGTCCATATCCTAATCCCCAGACCTGTAAATACATTACTTTCATGGTAAAAGGGTCTTTGCAGATGTGAATGAATTAAAGACCTTGATACGGGGAGATAGATTATCCTGGATTCTCTGGATGGGTCCATTCTAATCACATGAGTCTTTAGAAGTAAACCTTTCCTGGCTGGGGTCAGGGAGAGATGTGATGATGGAAGAAGGGTCGGAGAGATGCCACATTGCTGGCTTTGAAGATGGAAGTAGGTAGGACCATGAGCCCAAGAATGTGAATAGCTTCTAGGAGCTGGAAAAGACAAGAAAATGGATTCTCCCCTAGAGCCTCAGAAAGGAACACAGCCCTGCCGACATGTTCTTTATCCCAGTGAGACTCTTTTCAGACTTCCATGTAACCGCAAGGTAATAAATGTGTTGTCTTAAGCCACCCAGTTTGTGGTTGGTTGTTCACAGCAGCAATAGAAAACTAGTACAGGAATCTTAGCCCCTTTATTTCTTGTTACCTCAGAACCTTTCTGTTGTCTACAGAGATAATAATTTGTAATTACTTAATAATTTATAAATTAATAAATGTAATACATATTTATAAATTAATAAATAATTTCTGTATTTTGCCTAGCTCTCGTTGTCCCGGATGGGAGTGCTGGTATGCTGCTAGCTATCCATTGCTCCTGGATAATAGCTCACAGTTTTAGTATCCGAAGGCTTTTAACTTTGCCCTCACAAATGTCCCTGTGGGAAAGACAAAGACAGTATGTTTTTTTGCTATTTTGTATTTGGAGTGGAAGCTCAGGAAGGTTGAGTGAATTATTCCAAATCAGATAATGCTTAAGAAGCCAAGTCAAGCCTACAACACAGGTCTCTAGACAACACGGCCAGTCCTTCTTTCATTATTATAATGTCTGTGACCCACAATCAGAATCAAGAACTCCTATATTTTAAATTATTTACATACAGTTACTTTAAGTGAAAAATTTGCTGAATGTTAATAATTTCAAACAATCATGTAACCTCTACCACAATCAAGATACAGAACAATTCCCTTACCCTAAAATTAATTAATCCCTCCCCCACCCTGACCCCAGCCAACTACTGGTATTTCTGTCACTAGAGCATTGCCTTGTCTAGCCTTCTATATAAATGGAAATATATAGCATGCATCCATCTGTATTTGAAGCGTTTCACTTGGCCTAACAGTTTTAAGATTCATCCATGTTATATTGTGATTTTTTCCTTTTTGTTGCTGAGCAGTATACCATAGTCTATCCATGGGTAAACAATTTATCTATTCACCAACTAACAGACATTTGGGTTGCTTCCACTTTTGGCTGTTACAAATAGTGCTGCTATGAACATTTACATACACACTGCTGTGTAGACTTACGTTTTGATTTCTCTGGGAGTGAAATATATATTTAACTTCATAAGGTACTGTGTATGTTTTCCAAAGTGGCTGTTCTATTTTGTATTCCCAACAGCAACAAATGAACATCCAGTTGCTCCACATCCTTGTCAACACTTCCTCTATTTTTCCCCTACAGATGGCCAGTTGCCCCAGCACCATTTGTTGAAGACTTCCTTGAACGTCCTTGACATTTTTACAAAAATTAATTTACCATATAAGTGTGGGTCTATTTCTGGACCCTCTGTTCCATTGATATGTCTATCCTTATGGCATTATGTTGATTAATAATTGCTTTATAGCAAGTCATAAAATCAGATCAATATGGGTTTCCAGCTTTGTTCTTCAAAATTGTTTTGGCTATGCTGGTTCTTTTGCATTTCCATATAAATTTTTAAATTATCTTGAATTATATTAGATCAGTTAGGGGAGATTGACATCATAATAACGTTTGGTCCCCCAGTCCATGAGCCTGGTATATCGCTCCATTTATTTAAGTCTTCTTTAATTTTTCTTTAAATATTTTTTAGCTTTAAGTGTGTGATTCTTATTTTGTTAAATTTATCCCAAAGTATTTTAATTTTCTTAATGCTATTATAAATTGAGTTGTTTAAATTGTTTCTTGGTGTTATATAGAAATACAATTAGCTTTTGTATTTTGACCTCGTATACTGCAACCTTGCTAAATTGACTTTCTTAGCTTTTCTCTGAATTCCCTAGTGTTTTCTGCATTCACAATCATATTGTCAACAAATAAGACAGTTTTACTTCTTCCTTTCCAATCTGCCTTTTATTTCTTTTTCCTGCTTTATTCACTACCTGGGCCTTACAGTACAAAGTTAAATCAACATAGTGAGAGTGGGTATTTTTGCTTTGCCTTGTTTCTAATTTTAGACAGAAAACATGAAGTCTTTCACCATTGAATATAATGTTAGCTGTAGATTTTTCATAGATGACATTAATCAGATGAGGAAGACTCCTATTCCTAGTTGTTGAGAGATTTTATCATGAGTGTTGATTTTTATCAGATTTTTTTCTGCATCTATTGAAATAATTATGTGGTTCTCCTATATTTTATTAATGTGGTGAATTACATTGGTTGATTTTCTAATGTTAAACCAACCTTGCGTTCTGAGATGAACCTTACTTGAACATGATGTATAGTAGTATCCTTTTTGAATCCTGTTGGGTTTTATTTTCTAATATTTTGTTGAGAATTTTTGCATCTCTGTTCATGAGTGATATTGCTCCGCATTTCCCTTGTGATGTCTTTGATTTTGTAATCAAGGTAATGTTAGCATCATAAAATGAGCTGGGAAATGCTCCCTCTTCTATTTTCTGAAAAAGTTTTTTTCAGACTGGTATTATTTCTTCCTTAAATGTTTGATGGAATTTACCAGTGAAGCCATCTGGATCTGAAGTTTTCTACGTGGGGAGGTTCTTAATTGTGGATTCAAGTTCCTTAATTTATATAGGTCTGTCAAGTTTTCTTAAGCCAGTTTTGGTAAATTGTTTCTTTTAAGGAGTGTGTTTATGTCATCTAGATTGTCACATTTGTAGGCATTAGATTGTTCATAATAGTCTCTTATTATCCTTTTAGTGTCTGAAGGGCATGTGGTGAGGCTCCTTCTTTCATTCCTAATACTGGGAATTTGTGTCTTCCATTTTCTTGATCACTCTAGCTAGAAGTTCTTTAGTTTTCTTGGATTTATTTCAAAGGGTAGGTTTGGGGTTTACTGATTTTCTCTGTTATTTTCTGTTTTCAGTTTTATTGATTTCTACTCTTTATTCTTCTTTGGGTATAATTTATTCTTTTTGTAGTTTCTTAAAGTAGAAGCTTAGATCATTGAGTTTTAGACCTTTTTTTCTTTTCCCACATAGGCAT